GGCCGAGGGGGTGCCCTATGTTTGGGGTGGGGGGGGTTTTTCGGGGGACCCCCCCCCCCCCCCCCCCCTTAAAGGCTGGAAGGGGGGAGGGGGGGGGGGGCGGAATTAAGGGGGGGCGGCAAGGGGGGGCAGTCCGGTATGGGTAGGGGGCCCACCGGCCCAACGGGCCCGGAGGGGAGGATCCCTGGAAAACAAACTTTTACTCAGGGGGAGGGGGAGGGAAAAATTCTGGAGAACTGAAAATTTTTGTTTGCCCGACTGGGGGCGCCAGGGTTAAGTAGGGAGGGCGGCAAGTCATCAGTGGGACAGGGGGGTTAAGGGGGGGGGGGGGGGCCACTTGAAGGGTGGGGGGGTGGGACAAAAAGGAGGGGGGGGGGGGGGGTTTGTGTTTCGCTGCTAGGTAGTTGGTGTAAGAGATGGTCGGTTTGAGGACCTCATTGCTAACCGGCAATCAGGTAGTGATGGCAATTTTCCAATAATAGGAGAAGCTTTTGAGCAAACCACCACGGATGCTTGAACAAGGGAGTGAACATGTGACATGTAGCATCAGCATCGGCATCAGCACAGGTATCAGCATCAGCATGGGCATCAACACCGGTCCAACAGCTCTCCTGTCTCGAGCTGTCCAGTGGCCAGCTTGTCATGAACCAAAATCTCCTGCCGCGGCGTCGTCGTCGTTGTCGTCGTCATCAGTGGATCTCCGCCTTCTCTCGGCCACTACCTAGCGTCCATGGCATGCTCTGCTCATAGCTGTCGTTTCTGTTCCACGTCGAACGAATTGCCTCCAACAGCCGCTCAATGAGGCCGATTGCACCCTTGACAACAACCCCCATCGCCATACACACACACAGACAGAGCCCGCAATCCACCGCTCCCCTTCTCACGCTCGTTTCCCCCTCCGCGCCCATTGTATACGCGTCTGTCGCTTCCGAAACATTTTGCAGCCCTGCTCGCGCGCGCGCGCGCTCGCACCTTCTTCCCTTGTCCTTTCCCCCATAAACTTCCACCTCTACTGACTGACCATTCGGGCTTTTGCGGGCGCATCATCACCAAGTCGCCAATCTGGCTTCATCGCAGGACCACGCCCGCTCGTCGCCGCCGCTGCATTCCCAGCGCGAATCCAACAATAGCGCCAACATCAACGTGCGAGCGCGGAGTGCGTCGGTGCGGCTGTCGCAGGCTAGAGGGGAGGTGGACAAGGAGCAGGAGGCTGCTGGCTTGAAGTTCAATATGCTCGTCGGCAAGGCCTACTCGTGGAAGGCGGCGAGGGCGAGATGGCCGCCTTCGAGACTGGTTCTACAGACGCTGCGGAATCCGAGGGTTTTGCTGGCCGTCGCCTTGTCCACCGCCGTGCTCTTGCTATGGCGATCAATGGGATCTGCGGCGGGGGAGATGCAGAGGTAGGTTTCTTCATTTCACAGGGCTTGGATGGCCGCCTTGGCTGCTGAAGCATGCCGTATCCCATTCCCATCTCTGCGCGGCACTGAGTGGGCGACAAGCGCGAGCGCTGACCTCGCCGTCTCAGATTCTACTGCTGGGGTCCCTCCAAAGCCCCAATGTACATGACGCCCAACGAAAACGAAGAGTGGCACGCCCACCTCAGCACGCCCGTCCTATTCAACCACCACAAGCCCATTGAAATCAACGCAACCGAAATTCAACACGTCAATCTCAACGAGATCAAGTCCACGCCCGACGCAGTGCGCAACAAGGAGCGCATCTTGATCCTCACACCCCTCCGCGATGCCTCCTTCTATCTCCCCAAACACTTTGATCTCATCACCCAACTCACATACCCCCACGAACTCATTGATCTCGCCTTCTTGGTCGGCGACACCAAGGACGACACCATGGCAGCACTAGCCAAGGAACTCGAGCGCATTCAAAACAACCCGGAAATAGCGTTCCACTCTGCGCTCATTGTCGAAAAGGACTTTGGTGTTGCCATGTCGCAGACCGTCGAGGAGAGACATGCGTTTGAAGCACAGGGCCCAAGGCGGAAGGCAATGGGCAAAGCGCGGAACTACCTGCTGAGTGCGGCACTGAAGCCAGAGCATAGCTGGGTGTATTGGCGCGACGTGGACATTGTGGATAGTCCGGCCATGATCATCGAGGACATGATTGCGCATGACAGGGACATCATTGTGCCCAGTAAGTGGATCAAAACAGTCAAGGACGATTCGTCTGCTAATTCCCACCTAGACATTTGGTTTCACAGGTACAAGGAGGAAAAGGGGAAAATGGTTGACATTGAGGGACGCTGTAGGTTGCTTTGTCCTTTTCTTGCGACTTTTTCCCAACACCAGATACACTGACATTCGCCACAGTCGACTACAACTCCTGGCAAGAATCCCCCGAAGCCCTCAAACTCGCTGCCTCCCTTGGAAAGGACGTCGTCCTCGCTGAAGGTACTTTTTCCCCCTCCAACCCCCCTCCAATCCACCATCCAAACTCCCCCAACTAACCCCCTCCCACAGGCTACAAGCAATTCCCCACCAACCGCAAATACATGGCCAAAATGGGCGACTGGCGCGCAGACAAGGACGTCGAGATTGCCCTCGACGGCATCGGCGGCGTCAACATTGTCGTCAAGGCAGACGTGCATCGCTCCGGCATCAACTTTCCTTGCTACGCGTTTGAGAATCAGGCCGAGACGGAGGGGTTTGCGAAAATGGCAAAGCGCGCGGGCTATGGCGTGTTTGGACTGCCGAATTATGTCGTCTGGCATATTGATACGGATGAGAAGCCGGGGAATGCTTGAGAGGGCGAAAGGAGAGGGAGAGAGGATGCGCAGAGACACATTGTATAGATATAGACAGTCATGAGGGATAAGAGGGATATTTTGGGAGTCGAGCAGCGGGGAAACTGGGGGAGCGAAGCTAGTAGAGCATACCATGGTCACGGCGCATGGGCATTATACCATGGAGTTTTTTGTTGTGTACTTTTTTTTTTTAAAAAAAAAGCATGTAGTCGGCATTCTCACTAGTAGACTACTATTACATCCATCTCTTTGCTTTCAATCGACATGTCTTCCCTTGCTTCCCTTTTCCATGTCCATTCTCCTCCGCTGCCGTCGCGGCCACATTCGACCTTTTCCCCTTTTGCGACATGGCGTGCCGTGGTATCGTGGATGTATCAAAATAGGAGAAGAGAACAGCGCGAAAAAATAAAAGGGAGAAGGAAAGAGAAACAGGCAGATAGAGAACAAGACGAAGAAGATTCAAGTATCCATCTTCCAGGATCCCAGCGACCAAGAGCCTGATGGAGTCGAGCGAGATAAACACCTAATCTTCCAAAATCACATCACGCTAGACTCACATATGTCGAGCAAGAATGCCAGGGTACGAGGAGCACGAGTCGTAAAAGAAATGGCAAAACAAAGCAGTCGGCCGTGGAATGAAATATTCATAATTGAGCGCTCTGGAGAAGAGAACTGCGACGCAAACAGGCACCAAACGAGTCTCCAAACTCAGTGGTCAAAGATGCCAGCGTGAAACTTGCGCTCGTCATAGTATTGCGCTCGAATCTTGCGGTTTCGAAACTCGAAGCCCTCGTCGAAGCGATTGACAGCGTTGAGCGCGCTGAGAACGGACTTGAAGTGAATGTAGACTGCGCCGTCTTTGCTCTTTTCATCGAGCCGAATGTGTTCCACAGGGCCGAACTAAATCGGGTTAGCCATTGACACTTACTGCAGAAGTGAGTGTAAGCATTACCTTGTTGCTAAAAGCCTCGCCCATGTCCTGCCTTATGCCACCATCATTGCGCTCAGCATTCGCATCCCAGTCTACCCCATCAATACAACCCCAAGCGACAACCACGCTCGACTCTTCTCCAAACTTGCCAGGCTCATCCTTGTGCGTGCGCATACCGCCACTGACATCCCAGACCTGTTGCGATTTGATCTTGCCGCCTTCATCGTCAAGCGAACTTGCGCCGGGATGCGCTTTGCGCTTCTTAACTTCCAAGTGTGTGATGACACCATCGCTGTTCTTGCCAAGGCCTTGACCCTTCTTATAGCCCATCTTCGCCATCATGGCTTCTGCTTTGCTTATCTTGGGACGCTTGGCGGGGCGCTCCTGGTCGGTGTGTTCGTTGTCGACGTCGTGCATTTGTACGTCATTTGGCTCGTAATGGACTGGGGGCGCAGAAATGGTCGCATTGGCATAGCGTACTGGCGCTGCTGAAATAGTTGCATTCTGGAATATGGAAGCTGATGTGGGTGCAGCTGGAGGCGGCGGAGGCGGCGGGCATTCTTCAGCGGCTGAGGGTAGAGGAGGTGGAGGCGGCGGGTATTCCTCAGCGACCGAGGGCGGTGGAGGGAACGCGCGCGGAGGTTCCTGAGGCGATTTGTTTGCGGGCTCATTATACGAAGCAGGTGGAGCAAAGGATAGCTTCGCCTTCATCTCGGATGCTTTTGGTTCCTCATCAGTTTCACCCGCTCCACAAGGCCTTGATTGATCCGCAGCGCTGCGCAGAAAGGCCTTGAAGCCCTCCTTTTTGCGTTGATAACCGCCGCTGGCCCTGTAGGCTCGCAGGTTTGAAAATCGCTCAGGCCTGTGTGGTGCCTGAGGATTCCAATGTCCAAACATCTTGTTGAACTTCTTCTGCTCTTTCTTCTTCTGCCTCTCCTCATAGAGGCGCTGTCTTCGCTCCTCCATAACGGCCGCATCGTCATCTGCAGTGCTCCGGTACCAGTCAATGCCATGTTGCTGAGCAGTGGACGCGGCCGGCGCCTGCTTGACAGAGCTTGGTACCACGGCAGGCATTGTAGCCTTCTTGATGGTGGGACCAGTCTTCTTCGGCTGCGGGCGCTTGATGATGTGAGGGTTATGGAAAGCTGTGGAGGCACTTCAGTCGTGGTTCGGAAGATAGTTTGGATCAAAGTAAGTAGATACCAGGTGCTTTCCTCTGCTGCTCGGCCTTGGCCTGCTCTTCAGTGTACTTGACAGGCGCGGCCGAGGCGACCGTGGCCGCAGCATAAGGATTCGGAAGGCCGCTTGTAGCATATGGATTAGGTAGGCCTTGCGGCGTCTGCGGAGCCATCGTTAGCTTGGTATAGAACTTTCGTTCCCCTTCAAAAGATAATGTATGCTGCTACTGATGCTGCGGGGGTTGATCACAAGACCAGAAGTAAGAAGTCGCGTTTGGCGCGCCACACTTCATATTTTATTTAGTCAGCACACGTGATATCACATGACATGCTCACCCCATGCCGGGACCGCAAGGGGTCGCGTCATCTACAGGCCCCGAAAGCGTCTGAGTGCTTGCTTAGTAGACATACAACCTCAGCTGGCCTTTGGTGTGAGTAATTGATTCCATAAATACTTGTTTTGTTGCATTGTATATTTCTCAAGGTATGTGCAAGTCGTTTACTGGTGTTCGATGTCAGCACTGATGATGGATTGATTGATAAGAGTTCCCGTCTCTCCTACCTACCCATAATCTAGCCGCCATGTCTCCAACTACACTACAGAACGCCTTCTCAAAGGACTCTACTACGACAGCTATCATCGTTCCCGGCAATCCACCGTTGTCCGTTTCGTATCAGAAGCTTTCCGCCGATGTGAAGGCATTCCAAGAGAAGCTCGCGCAAGTTGGCGTCAGCGCAGAAGCAGCTGTATCTATCGCGCTTCCCAACACGTACGAGTTCATCGTCTCGTTCATCGCCGCATCGTGGCAGAGAGCAATTGCTGCCCCACTGAACCCCGCATACAAACAGTCCGAGTTTGAGTTCTACATTGATGACCTCAGCTCAGCCATTGCGCTTGTACCCAGGGGTGCTTTCGCACAGGACGCGGCAGCTGTCCGGGCAGCCCGAAAGTACAATGCAGCCATCGCTGAGTGTTTCTATAATGGCCAAGAGGTGGTGCTGGATGTGAAAGAGACTGGAAAGCTGGCAGGCAAGGCGGCGCGTATGGAGGTAGCCCCAAGCCGATGATGT